TATATATATATATATATATATATATATATATATATGTAAAGCAAACAATGAAATTATTCTCATTACTTCTTTTGCTGTTGCTAAAAATTTCATGCCATTATAATGACATTTAAATTTTGCATCTATTTCAAGTTATCAAGTGACTCATGTTTCGTCAAGTTACTTCCCAAAGAAAAGCTGTGATATTTTCATTATTTTTGAGTGTTTTTGCTCAGAGGTTTGCTATTCATTCATTAGCTGATCATTATATCATTTTTGCATATAATTATTACTTATATTTTAAATTTCGTTGAGTACAAGGTCATTCATTTGTATCGTGTTTTTTCAATAATTAGAAAACATAGAAAACAAATTGTTCCAAACATTATTTTCTTTGTTACACAATGAAGCGACAATGAGCGATTTGCATGTTTAATTTTGAAAAGGCATCTGGGAAAGAAACAAAGAATTGAATTTTGAAGTCATTGACAAATAATCAACTTAAAATTTTAAATGACAGCAATTTTGAGTTTGCTATGAGAAATAAAAATTCTCAAATACTGAAGTTAATATAAAAACAATTTTTTCTTTTATTTTCCACATTGCTTAATATTTCATCATTACTATCTGCAAAAAATTAAAAGCAAATCTTGTTTCATATGAACAACTTCAAGCTTAGCAGTTGATGACATGTTGGACAAAATAAATAGATTGCTTAGTCAGCCATAAATAATATTGTTTCTTAAATAAGAAAGCATTTTCAATTCATTTAGCTTCTATATTTTTTGTTACATTTACAAACATTATGGTTTAAAATTTTTTTTTGTACTCCTAAGCAATTTGCAATGCTCACTTGTCTTGCGAACGCGTAGTTTGCTGTCCTTATCAAAGCAATAGTATTTGATATTCAGCCCCCTTTATTAAATGTTTAGATCCAGACATTTTTTTTAAAATTTCTCTGAGATAGTCTTTTATAAACTGAAATAGCGTCTTCTTACTTCAACCTCTTCTAGTAAAATTGAAAATTTTTGCTCCATTTTTTGCTTCTGCACACTATACCTTTTCCTACTCACAATTTTTTTTTGTTTTTTTTAATTTCATAGCATTCATTTCACAGACCAAAAAGTTGTCAAAATAGTTTGCCTTAACTTATGAAAATCATCGAAATAAATAATGTTACAAATATTTTTCGCATATTTTTCAATTGATTTAAGTTAACAAAAAGCGGAATGGTAGCCGATGAAGAAAATATCAATACGAAACATATCAGTGGTTTGCAATGTAATGAAGAAGAAGATGTAAGTGCTGATAAAAAAGTCCCTCTACTTTTATAACAGTTTTCTTCTATGCATATATTTTGTAATATTGCAGAGTTCAATCATATATCACAAACCAATATTTTTTCCAAAACGTGTTATTATCTTATCAAAAACAACAAGATTAGAATATGAAATGCAGAAACATTCTGAAATGGGTCACATCCAGTTTCGCACATTTGTAGGTTTTTGCTTGATTACGTTGTTGCTAAGCTCGAGTCATTTCTATGAAATTTCCTAAATTGTATTCATATATATTTGGTAAAATTGACAAACAAATTATATTTTAGCATTTCTTCATTAACCTCTGTAAATAATTGTATTTAAGCTTGTTTTCGTTTTATTTTTGCAGTTGAAAAGGAGTGGCTGGAGGTATGAAGATATGAAAAAAAAACAAATCGAACAACAAAATTATGTTCGCAATATGCGCAAATGTCTTCAGTTAATATATGTTTCACTTTAAATTTCACATATATGTTTAAACTAGAAGTTAATTTTTGTTGCGAATTTCAAAAATTATTAGAAGTAAACCAAATAATGTTCTGTTTTGAGATCAAGAAATAATAGAGCGACTACCTTAATACTGAACTAAGATTGGATTTCTTGATAATATGATGCAGTGTGAATAAAAATTAGCACAACTATTTCGGTACAGTATAATCACTCAGTAATGAAATCATATTTTGAAAACCAAAATAACCAAATAATTAAGCTGAGTTACTGATTATTAATGCCTTTTTTTTCAGAAGTTACGGTATTGAAGTGAAAGTTGTGACTCGTACCGAGTATACCGTGGAAATAGCAGCTCAGGCAGATGCCGTGTTTTCAGCGGGTGGCGATGGTACTTTCCTGTTGGCTGCTGAGAAAATACGTGATCATCGAGTTGTTATTGGCTTCAATACCGATCCAACAGGGTCTTCTTAAAATTTCATTATTTCGATAAATATAATGAGGCAACTTAAGTACTATTACTGTACACAAAAACTATTAAAATGCCTTTCTTGGTTACTTCCTTTGAAAATATTGTCAATGTTCTTACAATTATTGAAAAATGCCTCTGGCATATATCATTCGTGCATGCATTTGCAACTTACTGTGTAATGGTTACTAGATTTTTAAGGCAACTCTTGTCAAGTTGTAATCTGTAGGAGAAGTTTTTGAAGATTAATAACTACCATAAGTAATAAATTTACAGTTCTGAAGGTTATCTGTGCATAACAAGAAAGGAGAGGCAACCAGTTGCTGAAATAATCGAGAAATTGCTGAAAGGCGAATGCAGGTGCAATATGATTATTTAGCAGAATCAAACATGGTTTTGCCTTATTGGTGGGCCTTTATTAGTTCGAGACCTCAATTTTTAATGTTTCTTCATTTTTCTTCAAGAGCCACGAGCATCAGTTGCTGGCTCTATTAGAAGAATTAGATTCATTATTTTAGCAGTTAGATATTCAAAAATTAGGGCAGGTCTCCTAGCAGCGAAGATCAAACTAATAAATATTTGCTATTTAATGAAAGAATTCAGCAAACTTTTAAAGGTGGATTCGAAGGCAAAGAATTCGTGTGACAAAACTGAAGTGGGTAGAAAATAATGAACTTGAGTGCGACGAAGAAAGCTATGAAAGAAGTAACCAGTTACGCAGAGCACAGTGAGTTGTATTTCACTCGTATTCACGTTTCAGCTATTTAATCCTTTCAATTATACATTTTCATTTTGCACAATTTTTTGTCTTCGCTGTCTTGTCAAATGCATCTTAAATCAAAAGACGACTAGCCTTACAATATGTTATGATTATTGAATTTAAGCCATATTTTATTTTTCTAAACATGATCAAGTAATTTTTTATCAACTTCCCTAAGAAATAGTAGCGTTGATTTCTCTGAAATAGCTTCAAGAATATATGTCTAATTAAGTTGCACATTTTAAGTTTTATTTTTACTGCTATTTCAATAAGCAGTATTTCAAGTAAATACTGCTTATTCCCTTTTTCAGATTAGAATAAATATAAACTGATTATTTGCCTGCATAAATAAGACTTATATCCTTTACTTAGACTATTTCTACAAGACGAAGATGATCCAGAATACCCATTGTTAGCTCTTAATGATGTATTCATTGGGGAAAGCCACGCAGCTCGAGTTAGCCATTATGATCTGCAAATAGACGATGGTCCTATTATACGTCAAAAGAGTTCTGGTATAACAGTTTGTACAGGAACGGGATCAACGTCATGGTTAGTTTAAAATAAGCTGAATTATTTATGCTAAAATACTCTTCAACACTTAAATCTGCTTTCTCAGCTTCATTTCATAACAACGAGGTTTTATTATATCCAGGTGTACAATCGCGCCAATCTATAGAGACAGACTTTATTGAATATGCTGTTAGATTATAGCAGCTTTATTAATAGGTAGAATTAAAATAAGTTAAGTGTAGAGGAAGTAAGAAATAAGTCCACTTACTGATTAGTGAAGTATGAAATCATTTCCTTCTTGAAACTCAAAGAAGAATAGGATATCATTTTTGATCATTTCATGTACTCTGAAATGTTTTTGCTATTTAATTTGCTTCAAAGGTTATTTGTGTGCCGAAGAAAAAAACGAGGCTAGGTGAAATTTTTTACTTTTAAGTTTGATTTTAAATGCAAAAAAAGTTTTCTTGCTTTAATAATCATGTGAAATAAAGTACTAAATAGCCCTTCATATGAGTAAAGAGTTCATCTCTTCTACTTATTTTTATTTGTGTTGTTCCCATCAATAAATATTGTTTGCAAAACAATTTTTACGATTATTATATCATAAATTTTTGCTCAGGAATTATAACATTAATCGTGTATCCGAACAACATATTGATGAACTGTTATTCATAATGAAGAAGATGAATTTACTGACAGTCAATCCTACAGATACAATCACTAAAGATATATGCAAATGTTTCAACGAGAATTTATATTTTGACCCCCAATCTACAAGTATGTACTGATCTAAATTTGATCAAATATTTATTTTGAGAATATGCTGAGATTTGTTAGTCATGATTCATTCTAAAAAATCGTAAATTAGAGGCAGTCTTAAGTAATTCAGTTCTCTTAAAAAGTGACTACAAAACAATATTTATAATTAAGCGCAAATAATCTTTGTTAATACTTCTTTACATGAAATTTAAAAATTTTGCAACACAATATTATCTGTATGCAGGTATCGCATTTACGGTACGAGATCCTGTTTTTAATGCAACATTCCAAGGTGGAATACAGCGTGGCTTTGCTAAAAGGATAAGAGTTAGATCAAGATGTACAGATGCTCATATCGTTTTAGATGGTAGGATCTCTGTTCCTTTCAATTCAGGAACTGAAATACTGCTGGAAATTCATGAAAGTGATGCTCTGCATTCCATTGTATCTCTATAATATTTTATGTTTTACAGCAAAAAAAAACAGTCTTTTCGATAAGTAACAAATGCACTTCTGTATTTCTTTTTATTTTCAATTTTTTAGAAATTGATAATCTTTACACATGAAGAAAGCAATTTTAATTATCTTTAACAGTTCCATTCTCTCAATTACTGCTTGTAATTATTGCTTTCTTCATGCTAATTTTTGTCATTTAACCATACCAGTTAGTATTATCTACACATTGTTTATTAATACTACTGTCTACCATGAGATTAGTGCGATCATCGCTTCACTATTTTTTATGTTTAACCCTTTTGTATGATCTAACAACTAATTATTATCAGCATAACTGATTTTATTAAAATTTCATGTTATCAAAAGAATGAGCGATATTTTTATAATTTTATTTTTGTCTCAATAAGTTGACCAGAAATCTTAACAATTATTACCAGAAAAAGAGATTTGGGAACATTATCGTGAAATAGACAAAAATATATCTTAAGTTTAAAAGAATTACTTTTCATGTTTCAACATTTCCTGAGAAATAAATTACATATGAAAGATGTGCTACATGAGCAAGATTAAGTGCTGGCATTTTTTTAATTTTTTGCTCAAATCTCCACAGTACTTTTAAGTGACTGGATATATATAACACTTTTATATTGATAATCGGTTTACGAAAATCATAAACAGTCAACCATAAAACAAAATCGCACCAGAAACAAAATATGACAAAGTTCAGAAAAGAACATAACAAAAGGATAATTGCTTGAAATTAAATTTTTGTAACTGGTAAAAAAGTAAATGTATGAGAGAAGGATGCGTTCATTTCATCTTAATACAGCTGAGATCAGTTAGGTCGAAACGGTCTGTATCTGCAAAAGCACATCTGAAAGTTTTCTGTTGAAAATATAATTCCATGAAAAAACTGTTACTTACGATGTAATTTTTGCAGTGATTATCTATGGTTTTTTATACCTAAATCATTTTCTCTCAAATACTGACTTCATATTAAATTGCTGTATTTCCTTTTAGGAAATTAATTGAAGCGCATGCAACGTAGTGCATAAATATGAAATTTCTTTCTTCGCAAATAATAACCTTCGATATAATTTTAGGAATTCGTATTGACGAAAATGCAGAAATTGATAAATTGACTGCAATATTTGGTATTAGGGAAAGGCAGCAAGAAAAGAAGAAAGACATTCCATTTAAACGAACTATTAACTTTGATATACTGTGATTTAATGTCATATTTTTCAGTGCTGCTAATTGAACATGGAGGATTAAAACTTGTTTTTTAGTTTCATAAGAAGTTCTTAACCAAAAATCGCATGTAATATTGTCAATTCATCAGCAAATTCACTGCTCAGTCTTTTATACCAGCTTGCCTAGAAAACGGAAGAATTACTGATAAAGACTGCTTCAGAAGTTATATCAGCATTAAGCTGTTTATAATGATTAGTTTTTTAATGCACCACAGACTTTTTTATCTTTAAGTAAGTTGCATTAGAAATAATCGAAGGATACGAAAAAATTCCATAAAAAGCTAATCAGTTAAAAGAAAAATAGTGTGTCAACAAATCGACATGTGAGTCTATGATAAATGAGAGTTATGTAATCTGATTTTTGTTGTAACTGCGTGCAAATATTTGATTTGATCAAGTGGATATGACATGTTTACATTTATTAAGCAAGGTTTATGGCATTCGACAGCATAAATTGAGAAGAAACAAAGTATGATCGAAAAGTTATCTATTCTTGTAGAATCGAGAATGCCATTTATGATGTAATCGTTGTGTAAAGTATTGTAAGTATATTTACATGCATACTGAATATATGTATACAGCATAAATATATAGCAAGAAATTGTAAAACTTTTGCAGCTATATCGAGTCATTAGACAATTTAGCTAGCATAGCAGGCACGAGAAAAGCTGAAAGTGGCCAACTTTCGTCTATCGATTTCTTAGTTTCCTTATTGCGTTTACTATGATGTGAGCGAGTTCTACAAGCTTGCTACTCGCGTAGTTTAAACTGAGCATCTTGGCACAGCTGCTTTCTCGTGTCAACCAATAACCTTTATCTTCCTGCAGTTTATTATCAAAATTATACCTTTACAAATGACTTCATCAGCTAACAACTCTATTGTAACACTGAGGTTTAATTCTTGTCTTTGAATTACTTTGCACATTGTCATGTTTTTTGCTTGTTCCTCAGATATTGCTCTCTCTTTCTCTTTCTACCACAGATAATACTGTTACCAAAAATCGTTCTTCCCTTACTGCTTTTACGCTAGCTTGATTAATTGAGCTACTCACTGACTCTGAAAAGCTTTTTTAGCATCCTGATGAAAAGTTTTTCTTCATATATACCGGAGTAAAACAAAAGTTATCAATAGGGTCACGTTTATCAATTTAATCTATGCTCAACTACCGCCATTTTTACTTAAACAGATATTAATTTTTATACTACTTGTTAACTTGCTCGTTATTTGAAGTCAAACACTTAGATTGTTATATATTATTCTAAAATATGACGAAACAAATTATGACATCAAAAGATTCTAGTTTTGTACTTGTACAATAAATATATTCAGTATGCTTAAATAATAAATGCAAAAAGCTAATGTTTTTTACATCATTTTTCAGTGCATTTTTAAAATATTTTTAAGCTGTAACTTAGAAATATTTTCTCCGTAAATGGAATATATGTTTAGCTATACTTTTAAATCTAATTGATATTGTCACATTTTTTCAAAGTAGTTTTCCCACAATATATAACATTTATTTTGCATTGCTATTCCTTTCGTCATCAAAATATGCTACTTTCGTTCATTCCTTCCTGCACTCTAATTATGGTAATTACATGAAATAATTAATAGGTTCTTGATGAACTACCAAAAAGTCTCTGTAATTAATCTTAATTTGATTTCATTTTGACTTTCTTTAGAGATGTGAAGTACTGAGACAAAACAAACATGCAGTGCTGAAAGTGCATTACTCGATATATTCAGTAGATATTTAAATTAAATTAATTCTTTAAAATAATTCATTTTCATGATCATATTTATGTTTTTTCCTCTTTCCCGCATTTAGCGAATTATTGCAAACTAGCGTTGATAATATTAGTAATATTAAAATATAGTCCTCATTTAGAATCATAAAGAATGCATTTTAGAATCATAAAGAATGCATTTTAGTAAAGAATGCATTTTAGAATCATAAAGAATGCATTTTAGTAAACGAAGATTGCATATTATTCAATAATACTCTTTCATTCTATCTTTCGAAGAACTGATCTAAAATGGAAAGTTTGTAGATAAAGATATTTCGAAAAGTTTGGAAAGTGTGGCAAAGATAGCATTCCAATAACTGAAATGAAATTGAGTATAATACATTTTGCGTAAAATTTTTCAACATAAACTAGTGATCTGTATGTACATTTTCTTGATCTTCAATTCTTTTTTACACTCTTATTAGCTTATGTAAAATAGGAACAAATTTTTTTTTTTGTAAAACAATGCAGCAGTTTGAAGTTAAGCCAGATCTATCAAAATGTTTTAGTAAAAATGTGCTATCTGTATCTGTTTTTTTTCCCTTCAAAAATATTTCAAAAAATTGAACTTTAATGAGTATTTCTCGACAATTTTATCTAATTTTTTGACAACAGCAGGAAGGCTCTTGAGATCTCTTATTGACCAACATTCATTTGCTGAAGATGAGAGCAAGCCGCTTTGTATACAGCAGTTCTCACGGACGCCATGATGTCTCTCAATTTTGGTTGCTTTAATTTGCTTTGCCAAATTTTGTGGAAACATCTTACACTCATTTTGCTTCTAAAGTTATGTGCATGATAAAGCAGCGATCTATGTTGACTTATCAAATAAGTTGACTTATCAAATAATCCATTAAAATCTTCAGGGAATAACAAATAAAGAATAAAAACTTCCCATGGCAATATTCTAACCAAAATGTCTTAAAAAATGGCTGTTTTTTTTCTTGTTGGAAATACTAAGATATAGTTTAGAGTGAAATACGTAATGTGCATTTTAATATTTTTTTACCTTTATTACCGTGACCTTATGAAGTCCTCTTCCCATGTTTAAGCATTATTTCCGTCTTACTAAATCACTATTGAAGGCGTCACACAATCTATTTTGCCACTTTTACATCATATTACTCTAGCAAATGCACATTTCTGATTACTTATGAGTAGTTGTGAACGTAAACATAAATCTGAATCTCATGATCGAAAACTTTTAGCAGAGGTGGGGGGCAGCGTGACTATCGTAAGCGGTTATGGTTTCCGCACCATCAAGACCATGTACCGCAACAGAGAAATCGGAAGCAATTAAAGTAATCGTCCGCTGTCGTCCATTATCAGCTGATGAAATATCTAGTGGATATCAAAGGTGCATTCTCACTATTCATAAAAGAAGATTCTGATTGCTATCCATGGTCTCATCTTTTATTATTTTCAAGCTTAGAATGGGTGTATAATTTCAAATTCGAGATTCTTTTTTAGAAAAAAAAATCTTTATTTTGATTTTTGATTTAGTGTTTGTCAGTTTTTCACTTTATATTTTTTTATTTGAAAAATAGCATCATTTTGTATTTTTAGTATTGTTGATATTCAAACAGAACGTGGTGTGATCGAACTGCATAATCCTCAAGAACCAGATGCACCTCCTAAAATATTTACATTCGATTCAGTTTATGATTCACGGTAAATAATGGCTATGTTTTTAAATTAAAGTTTTAAATGTATGAAAAATTTCTGAACAAAATCAGTGTATGCTTTTCTTCATATTTATAAAGGTCAAGTCAAATGGACCTTTACGATGAGGCATGTCGTGATCTAGTTGATTCTGTGCTTGAGGGATTTAATGGAACGATTTTTGCATATGGTCAGACAGGAACAGGAAAAACATTTACTATGGAGGGTAGTTATAATATCCATATTTAGTATTCTTTCTCACAGTTACTTCCGTAAGTGAACTTTAATTTTCCAATGCTAAAAAAATTATTTTTAGAAATTTGAACTGTTTTTAATCTCCCATTTATCATGTAAATATCAAATGCGCCAGTCATAACATTTAACGCAACATTATATTACATATGTAGCAATACTTTGATATGAAACGAAATGTTTTCTTATGGCTTCCTTTCTTCAAATGAACTTTTAAATGATGATAATTCCCTTATCTTAATTTTTTATCATTTTGTATGAAGAAAATTTTTTATTCACAATGGAAAAAGCTTTGCATTTCTTTTATTTTGAAAACCATGACTTAGGTAATCACAATGAGCCACATTTGCGTGCTGTAATACCAAGCGCTTATCATCACATTTTCAAGCACATTGCTCAATCGCAGAATCAACAATACCTCGTACGAGCTAGCTATCTTGAAATTTATAAGGTTTTGAACTCTCATGATATAATACATCATTTATCCAAAGCTTTTATTACATGTTTTCTTATGTTTAATAAATGTAAATACGTCATAAATAAAAAGTTTTCTAACAAATAAAGTGAAAATTTTATTTCTACGAATTGCTAGACAATAATAGGTTTGCAGTTCATCTGTGATCACAATTCTACATGTTAAGTGATTCATTCTTTCATCTCTTTTCAACATTTCAATACCTTAAAAGCTCTTATCATATGTTTTTCAAATATTTAATTACTACAAGTACATTTATGATTTTTCTGAACTACTTAACTTGGTGAATATATTTTAAGGAAGAGATTCGAGATTTATTAAGTAGAGATCCGAAAACACGTTTGGAGTTGAAGGAGCGCTTGGGTACAGGTGTTTATGTGAAAGATTTGTCATCGTTTGTAACGAAATCTGTAGAAGAGATTGAAGACATCATATCGGTTGGTCGTGCGAATCGCAGTATTGGGTCTGTTTTGTCTTTATTTTCTTAATTAAAATATGCTTTTCATTAAAAGTAGAAATTTCTCAGAATACAGTACTTGTTACTGAAAGAGAAATTGACCTGTTTCTTAGATTTTTGGATAATTATGTGGTGTAAATATTTATTTAAAAAACGGAAGATTGTAATTTCTGTTTTTATTTTTAGGTTTACAAATATGAATGAGCGTAGCAGTCGTTCTCATGCAATTTTTATGGTCACTGTTGAATGTAGTGAACTTGGATTGGATGGTCAAAACCATATAAGGTTAATAATTCAATATTTTCATAAATATAATGAATCTTTTAAAGTTACAAGAATAATCTAGAGAATACTAGCGCAAACTTTTTATACCTTTTTTATGATAAATAAACAAGGCATCATTCCGAGGTACAGGGTAGGTCGATTGAACCTGGTAGATTTGGCTGGTAGTGAACGTCAGTCAAAAACAGGATCACATGGTGAACGTTTCAAAGAAGCAACAAAAATCAACCTTTCACTTTCTGCGTTGGGCAATGTAATATCAGCTTTGGTGGGTGGAAAAGGTACACATGTACCATATAGGGATTCAAAATTGACTCGTTTATTGCAAGGTATAGACGATTTTATTACTTTCAAAGTAGTTTTTAAATTGTCTATTAATGACTCTTCTGAACTTGTAAATAGTTCTGATCATGCTTTTTTGTTTTTGAATGTAAGAAAATTGCAATTAATTGAGCTTTCATGAATAATTTTTTAAATTGATTACTTAGAGCATAATTCTGTGATTAAAAAAATAAACAAGCATCATCAAAATTTGAAAGATGGAGATGTATCTCACTGCCCAACAAAGGCGTTTGGAAGATTATAGATTCCCTTGGCGGTAATTCACGAGCTGTAATGGTAGCTAATATTGGACCAGCGTCATATAATTATGAGGAAACTTTGTCAACACTGAGATATGCAAGTCGCGCAAAGAATGTTAAAAATAAACCAAAGATTAATGAAGATCCTAAAGATGCGCTTCTTCGCAAATTTCAAGTTTGCTAGTTTCAAATATAGTATCATAGCAATTTTGAACAAAAACTGTATTATTTCATCGTGATATTAATTATTAATTCTTATGGATTGCAATTACTTTTTAATTTTCTTTATTAAGGATGAGATTGCACAACTTCGAGAATTATTAAAAAAGCGTGCAATTAAAAAGAAGGAAAAAATATTTGTGAATGGGAAAACTGAAAGTGATGATGAAGGTTAGTTGAAAAATGCAGCGATTTCTCTAACTCTTATTTGTATCTTTATGAATAATGATATTATATAAGAAAATTAGCTTGGGATTCCAGATGGAGATTACCTCACGGCACAACAAAGACGTTTGGAAGATGAAAGGCAAGCTGTCATTGCAAATTCAAGTATTATTACAGAGGTGAGAATTTTTTAATTCGAATTTCAAATTCTTGCGTTATAATTGGGAAAAATAGTGCTTAATAATATAAATTTTAAAAATATTGATATTCAGGAAAAGCGAAAAATGCTTGCTGATCTGGAAGAAAGAGTGCAGCAGCTTGAAAAAGAACAAGAAGCGCAAATTGCTATAACTGCAAAAATTAAGACATTACAAAGTAAACTTTTGTCAGGTGATGGTAATTTGTTGGGTCAAACTCTTGAGCAGGAGAAATTGCTGGAACAGCGAAAAAGGCAGCTGGCTGAGCAAAAGGTTTAAATAAGGGATTGTATTGTTGATAAATGATTAATTCAGACAGAATTTTGTTTACAAGAGAATTACAATTTTTTGATGGACTGTAATAAAGTTCGTATTTGAGAGAAAAGAACGCGAAATCTTACAACAGTTGGAAGCACAAGAGGACAATACTGCTGAAATCCATGAAACATTCACTAACTTAAGGCAGGAAGTTGAAATGAAGACAAAAAAGCTGAAAAAATTGTTTACTAGACTTCAACAGGTTTATTACGATTGATTAAAGACAGAAGGTTATCTGAAACATTGAAATGAAAAGTTTTACTGATTATTTAAATATAAATCATTGTTAGGTGCATGCTGAAATAAATGATGCTATAGCAAGTCATTCGCAGGAACGACAAGAGTTGGAAAACTCCGTCACTGAAATCAATAAAGAATTAAAACTTAAGTAAATTTGTTTACTTTAGTTTATAAGTAATAAAATGTATACAAAAAAGTATGCGTCTTCTCTAGTTTCTCATTTCAAGGCATAATATTCATCTCACATTACAAATCAGAATAAGGATAATATGGTTCCACTGAGTTTTTACAGGTTATTGATAGTAGAAAATTTTGTTCCTCAAGATATTCGCGATCGTTTACGTGAACGAGCTTATTGGGATGATGACGAAGACACTTGGAAATTGTTAAAACCAGGACAGAGTGGACCCAGAAGTACTGTTTCTGAAGAATTATTCCATTCAGGTGGTGGTGATTCTGGTCTTGGTATTAGCAATACATCGACAAGTATTGATTCTATTGTTCAAAATCTTTCCAATAACCGACCGGTGAGAAATTCGTGTTAGATTGACATTTTTATCTCTTTGGGAATGCAATTTGAAAAAAATAAAAACATGCATTTATTAAAATGTCGTCTATTAAACTCGTAGAAAACTTGCGAATTTATTCAGTATATTAATTTAATCTGATTTTCGCAACTTGCCGTGTCACAGAATTTAAAACATGTCACAGAATTTAAAACATGGTCATTTTCATTGCAGGTATCGGTACCAGGGATGAGACGACCTATGTGCAACTATGAGCGAATGTGTTTGGCAGGGTTGCGGCAACGATTAAATACTCAGTCAAGGCTTGGCCGACCAACTTTTACAAATTATCCAAGCAAATCTGGTTTCATGATCATAGATGAGGTGATTTTGCTTACTAGTTTTAAATTTTGAGGCTAGTTTAACAGAATTCAAATTTTTAACTGAATTAGTTTACAGATATTAACGCAATATTGTATAATTTACTATAATTTTATTCCTATTCATTGTGATAATCTACAGAATTTAGTAAGTTTACTTTTTAATGAGAATTAATACGAATGACAGCACAACAGTATCTACAGTATACAAACCTTGACTGATCAAGACACATAGTCAATTCTAAAACTCACTGATTAAACTAGCGAAAGGGAGCGGAATCCTAAACAATAGCTAATCATCCAAAGCTGATTCTCTTACGTTGAAATATAAACTTTTCTTACAGCAACTATTTGTCACGCTTTGTTCTAGTGTGCCTCGCTGTATATTTATTATTTGTCTATATTTATTACAACATAACAGTTGGTTATTATTGAAAAGTGAGTGGTCAAAAGGATTTAAAAATTATGGTAGTCTTACAAATAAAAAACTGTGGTTATTGATATCAAAGTTACATTTAAAAAGTGCAACTGGTTACTGTGCAAGTAATATAGAGTCTAAGAACTTCATAAGGCGGTTTTAGACCTAAAGAAAATTCTAAATATGAAACTGCTATTAATTTATATGTTCAGATGCAATTTATTTACACCTTTGGAGAGAGACAATAATCGGTTCTTCATTAATTCAGTTAAATTGTCTTAGGTCTTGCGATTTAGTGGTGAAAACGTACTAACATTCACTTCTCTAGAAAAGTTGGAAAGCCGAACAAAGATGTACAATATCTCAGAAATAAAAACTAGCAAGCAAGTATGATTTCCTTAATTATGTCTTGTACGAAAATTTGCGGCTACTTTTTTCTGACAGTTCTACTTTAGTGCACTACTGATTTCTCACAGTACGACAAAGAAAAGGAGCAGAATTTTGTTGTCGATGTTTCCAGAATTCCAGTGCTGAAGGACTTCAATCGATGCAGTCGATTTCCAATTTCAAATTGTTCCAATTCTAGGACCTCGTTATTGTCTAGGTAAACTTTTAAATTTTTAAAAATTTTATCACAATCTTAAACAGCTACTAGACATATGTAATAGTTGTGTGAGGAGTTAACAAAGGATTAATGAAGAACAACTTCAGAATCTATTCTAAGGAAAAAAGATCAAAAAGGAACACTTTTGGCATGAAATTTCATATAAAATGTTACTAATTTTGTTAATTTCGAACATTCATAGTCTTTTATTGCTTCAGGTCCTCATTAGCACATTCAAAAAACGTACGTGCCCGCAGCGCGCTTGGAAGGGTGATAGGTGGTTCAGACGACATTTATCCAAAAGTTCGAGGTTTGATAAAAGGAAAAGACAGCTAGTTATGAAGTCAAGAACTCTATCCAAGCACATGTCAAAAAATAATCAGCTCGCACTTCATTTATTTGCTCCGCATTTTTTACGTCACAAGTATTTGTCATATTTATGTCAGTCATCCTCATTAACCTATCACAACAGCTTTTTCAAAAAAAATCATTCACATTTATTAAACCAAGACGTTACTGCAAAAATATCATCAAGTATCACTGATTTATTAACTTCTGCTAATATTCCATCGTGTGCTTCATCCTCTGCAAGTATATCTCCACATAAATCCTACCTGTCACCAAGCATCAGAATCAGCAACAGTTTTAATTGCCATCATAGAAAAACAGAAGTTGATTTTGAAAAAGCATTTTCATCATCGGTCAACGATGGCATTGCTTCTACTGATGGTTTATATTGTCAGCAGATACCAAAGAAAGTGATAGAAGACTACAAAACCAATCAAATGTACAATCGTGCTGCAAATAACTATAATCAGCAGTTACCGATATCACCAGAAAACACTATTCAGAATTTCTATCATCAAACTTATGGCATGTATGAAAATAGCCAAAAGCTCATCGAAACTGTACAGAAATCACAACACAATGTCTCGTCAACTTCACAGCATTTGTCTCGTTATGAAGCGAAGTATTTTTATGAAAAACAACATAAGGGTAGTAAAATCCCCATACTGATGACGAGGTTTGCCTTTAAAAAAATCACTGAAAACTACTGCCAACTTATTGTCTTGGCATAATTTCCTCAGGTGCATATTTCACAGCTTTGTTTCATACAGTTTAAAACTAGTTAGTACAAACATTTTCAATCATAATTCTTTAAAAAATCCGGTAATTATAGGTCAGAAAAAACGGCAGTACGACGGTTACCATTTGCTAGAAAATGTAATTTATTCTCGAAATCGTTTTCTGCATTTACAAATGGTGGTATCTTTTTTTTAGCAAATCTTTCTTGTTTATAACGATCATTTCGTCGAAAGAATTCCACTTTTTCCAAATCTAATTAACTTTATATGAAAGCATATTTTAATAGAAGAAAAACTACTAGGTACTACTTAGGCATGCAAAATATTCAGTTCGTTAAAAATTATTAAATTAGCATCAATGTAGATTGAATTTGATGCCAACTTATAATAATATAATACTATTTTTATTCTTTAAGCAAAATTTCAACCAGTAATTTTTCTAATTCAGCAATGTCGCAAGGTTCGCGTGAGAAATTAGCAAATGGTCTACAAGAAACTCCTTTTAACATATCCAAACAACTATTAGAACGCTGCACTCTTCGTAGACGACAAAATACATCGTCATATGCGTCTAAGTAAAAAATCAGTATTGGTCTCATTTTTATAAAAAATTTTGCAAATGAAAATTATTCCGATGAATAAATTTCGTAAAAGTGAAAAGTTAAAACCAACATTTTCAGTTTAATGACACGGTTTTTTATTGGGCGCATGCATGACTCAGTTTCTCACGACAGATTTGACTATCATTCAGATGAGACAAACAGATTGAATTACACTACGAATGTCTATTCGAATTATTTTAGAAATAGTGAAATATCAGAAAATGATGCTTGGATTAGGCATAATAAAAATGATGATGGTGGTGATGGTAAAAAAAGAAGCAGCAGTGCAATTTCTTCAACAACAAATTTTTTGTCATCTTATGAGCGAAATCAGCTGTAAGTATAGCTTTATAATGCTTCTACATGTAAATTTTTTGTAAATTCTGATCAAGTATAGTTTGATTACATTGTTGTTTTCCCATTTTTATCACTTTATTTTGCGCTTAGAAGCACAATAGTTTTGGTAACAATTTCGCTAAAACGATTTCAGTTTCCCGCAAAATATGTATGTCTCTTGGAAAATTTACAAAATTTTTCAGATCGGGAAGTGATCAAGAAATGCTCACTCTTTGTTAGTTATTACCTTACATAGAAATTTCTAATTGTAGTGCCAAAATGATTTTTCATAAGAAAAAATTTTCTGCATAAATTTAACTTCTCATCATTATTTCTACCATAAAGCAACTGATTTAAAAATGATTTATATGTTTGATTCAGAAATCTTTCAAAAATTAAGCAAGCAAATAATTTTTAAATTCTATCATTTCCTCTAAAAATACAAAAAAGTTGCTTCTTGCAGTTGCTAACAATATATTGAGATAAGAACAGTAAAATAATATTTCGCTATTTTTTTTTCCATATCTAATTTCTCATGATGTTTTAGCCTCAACTGCTTTAGGTCTTATTTGTAACAACAGCGATTTATCGCTTTTGCGTAATTTATGCAGTAAGGTGCATTTGGTGAAATTAACTGACTTAAGGAGAAGATGGTTATTGAAGTTGAAATCAGTGAAATTCAAAAAATTAATGACACACAAATTGTATTCTTCAGTGAATTCTTCGATATGTCGGAAGAACTTCCGCTTGAGACGGTTTGTTGACTTACTAACTTAGTTTTTTGAAAGTAAAACTGATGCTTAATAGATTTCATTTTTAAATTTCAGACAAATAAGAACAGTTGGAGAGAATGAAACATCTTGTAAAGATCAATGTAATCATGCCATGGTTGCTCGTAATAACTGGTTAGTAACTGAGTACTTCAAAAAATCAGTTGATATACGATTGGAACTGTTTTGCAACAGTACAGTTACTTTCACTTTCGTAGCTCTTTTCATTGCTTTAATAATACATACGATTAAGGTGTTAATTTATGAGTTAGCGGGAAAAATCTCAGTCAGCTGAGTAAACGTGAAAAATTTCAGTCACTTATGCTATTTTACCACTCACTGAATGACTGTGAATTTACTCATTTGTTTTTGGTAAATCAGTTATAAAATTTTGTACATATTCTTATGGTGTGAAGTGAATATTTATTTTTTTAATTTTCATTTTGGATATCAAAAAATGGTAAGATAGCACAAGTGGAAAAAGCAGCATTTTAATAAGTGGTGGGTAAGACAGAATATTGTAAAAATTACCTGCTTTTAAGCTATCAAATAGTCACATTCTAAGATTACTGTAATATTAAATGATAGTTTATTGAAGACTGTTACATTGTAATGACAATCATATACAATTATTGTAACAAATAACATCACTAAATGTTCTGTTTTTACAATGACTGCAGTATGATAGGGAAAGAGGATATACTTTACTTTTAATGCTGTGTACTGTATAATTTCTATTCTCATCATGATGATTGGCATTTTTTGGCATAATATTCATTCAACATGTATTAAGGCATTTAACGAATTTATAAATGTGAATAAATAGATGATGTTTTATAAAAAATATATATAAGTGATATTTATGAAAGATTTATAAATGATGATTGACACTGATATAATTGGAAAAATTTGTAGATGATTTAGGACTCCTTTTTTTCTGTAAAAAAAGCATTGTTTATTTTATTAATTGATCCATTTATGACGAATCAAATTGTAAAAAGCATCAAGAACGAATACGGTTTATTCTTAGCTATTACTTGCGACTGGCAAACATTATTTATTGAGTTTTCATGTAATATTTCCTTTTATAGGATATTTACTGTATCAGTTGATGTATGTATAAGTGCGTTGCGGGCTTGAGCTATAAATTAAGCTTCTGTTGTCATTTTCAGTTGATTGTAAATAATGTTACGCAGTTATTGTTCCTTGCCATTTAATGTCTTGAAATTTGCTAAATTTCTTTGTTATCCATGACAAATACAAATCTCTCAAATTGAAAGAAGTTCAGGATTAGAAATTTAGTGAAGATGTTGACCTGGGACATTTCTGCATAATTAAAAAGCGATTACCTCTTATTTTTAATCATGATAATTATTCATTCACAGTGCATATTTATGCATTAGAATATTTGTCATTATTCATATCTTAAATATTTGGCATTAATAAATTGTATGCTTTCATTCTTAGCATGATTTAAGTAGTTCTCTAATAAAAATACAATATAATAAAAATTAAAGTTTTTTATGAAGTGCTCATTTTTTGAGTAGAAATTTTAATCACACTTCAAAATGGTCAGGCACATTTTAGGAAATTAAATTAGAAGGGCCGAAAATCTTACTTTTTGATTTTAGTAAAAAATAAACCGTAAATACTACATCCCTTAGCCGTGAATTAGAAAGAAAAATTAACAATTCATTTTAGGTCTTATTTTAAGCATTGAAAATGAGCATAAAGAATGCAAACTAATCTGCTTTAGGAAAACATTACATATTTATTGCATTTCTCATCATCAGCAGTAGAATAGTATAACGCAAAATATGCGATCAAATCATACATTCATTGAATTCGATAAAATAGATCTAGTAAGTTTCCACGATAGTAAAAGTATGAAGTACGATATTAATAAGAGCTACGTAGAAGTAAGCAATGTGGTATTAGTCCATGAATTTAGGTATCGTTTAGAAAGTAAATCACTATGTGCTGGGGTGGGGAAATTCAGTATCTTGGAAATTGATTTTAGTTAGTCTCAGCAATTCATTACGAGTGATTTTCTTTACAAGCTTTTCAATAGCTCTGTGTGTATTTGGCAGAGTGCAAGAACTGCAAAGGTTTATGCATTTGGAAATAATATTATATTCAGCTGAAAGTTTTTGAAAATTGATGTTCATTAATTTTCCAAAACTTCCGTAATGCGCCAAGTATTATCCATAAATTAAAATTGGCATTTGCTAGTCCAACACCAAGATGACAGTCATATACTTTTAGCAGTCCCACTAATTTATTAAATTTAATAATGTGTCGTAAAAAATATTAAATTTAAAAATACTTTGATGAATTTATCATGTGCTCCAGATATGTTGTGCTATTATTTTATTATTATTATTATTATTATTATTGCTATTATTATTAAATATTATTATTTAGTGTAACTTCTATATTCAAATCATCTTAAGTGACACACCATCATAATTTTTTGACTGAGTCCATTTTTAATAAGTAGTGTATAGCTTACTCCAGTAACTTACATTTTCGGTTCATCTTGAATTGCAAATAAAGCAACACAAGTTTTTACAGTCATAAATGTCAGTTATTAATTCGAATTGAAATTTTATTTCGTGTTATAAATGAGTATTTTTTATATACTGTTTCTGTCAATGGCTCATGGAGGATTTTGTAACATCTTTGTATAACTTCTTGCAATGCCTATATGGAAGCATATTGCACTCTGTATTATCGTGAAACCAGTAGCTCACTTTTTATGTATGTCGTAAGTAAGCAAAGTAGGAATAATAAACAGTTAGTGATGCATAATTTATGCAACATTTTGAAGAACTGATAGATTTCTGCTAAATATTTTTTAGGTACTTACGTAATCAAATATTTCACACTCTTCTTTGTAGGGCACATAACAATAATCTTTGTTAAGAATTAGTATGAAGCATTTTGGGTTCAATTCAAGCAACTTTGCTCAATTGAAAAATGCATGCATGCTCGGTTTTCTAATATTAAGTGACGACAGATGAATATAGTAATGCTGATGTGATCCTTTCTGAACTGTGAAAATCAAAGTTACTGCTTCATTGTCTTTTAAAGTAATTTGCTTTTATTTCCGTTGGTTTTAGCTTTTGTTTCATTGTTTCGAATATCCTTTCTTCTTTATTTGCTATTGTTATATCAATTCCTGCGAATCATCTTAGGAGATGCTAAAATTCTACTGACTTCATAAATACTGTAATTTTGATCCCCAATTAATTCCCTTGGCTGCTGCTTTGAGATTGACATTCTTTGACAGTCATTGTTTCAATTTTGCTATTAAAGTTTGCTTTCATGTAACTTGTTTTGAAACCTTTGATGTATTTGTCTATTTATGGTTATATTAGTACTATGCTCATTCACTTTTACGCAGAGTGAATTTCATCTGAAAAGTGGAAAGTTAAATAGAGTAAGTAGATCATGTATGTATGTCTAACAGACAAATAGTATAAAGCGTGTGCTGAATTTATCATTGAAAAAATTTGCTGTCACACCATTTTAGTCCAAATTATTAAACTGTGAGAATGAAGGAAAATACGGTGATAGAAACTATTTTGCTCGAAATAGAAAATTTAAAGCAAAGTGTTATCTGATTTGAAAATAATATGATTTAACTTGTATCAATCAGTAATTCCTTCGTATTCGATAGCTGCAAAAGCGTAAATGCAGGAGAGTAATGGCGAATCATCATGTAATCAAAGCTCTCATGTCAACATCATTTCTTTTGATTTTTGAGGACAGCTAAAGGCAAAAGGAGAGATTGAGAGCAGTTATTTTCAAGCAAGTTTCAGCCTTTTGGCTTTGTAGTTAAGTTCCTTATCGACCTATTCACGCATTATAAAGCTAACGAACGCATGTCGCCAAATTAGGCACGTTTTCGTGCGCTACGCCATTGTTATGATGCATAAGCATGGCCGACTCTCAGGCATAGTAATACAAAATAATACCATGAACTCATTTGAGGTCTATTCATTATTGCATAGATTTTGAAAAATTAACTTGACCTTTCCTATGCTTTTGTCAAAATTTCTTTCGCTTTACCTCTCACGTCATTTTTTGTTTGCATCACGTAATTTCATTTCAGTTTAAATATGGTCTCTTAACAAAAAATGCATCTATTTATCTTTTTTCAGTTAATTTTACTTGCTATATTAACATAAATAAGTACAATTTTTTTCACTCACAAATTTCTTTTTCTTACTAAAAACTACTATAATCAATAGTTTCTGCTGGCTATATTTATGATATTTGCTCTTAATCATTCCATACTTCTTCAGCTATTTACTAATAAAAAATATAACTAATGAAAATTATAAAATCTTTAGTTATAGAAATAAAACTGCAATGCAAACAAGCTTGCAAGCTCTATCACTTAAATAAGTAGATCTGTCAGAAGAAACCAATTATTGCATTAGTTTAATTATGTTAGGAACTTGACAAGTTTTTTCGATCGAGCAACGATAATCACTTATCTTTTATCATGCTCAGACATGAATCTAGTCAATTTTTATGTAAGCATTTAATGAAATGCTGAATTCAAAATGAAGAAGTTTGTGTCTGCTTGTGTAAAGCAGTCATTTGAATTTTACTGCAGATTTATGAATGATTTATAAATATTTTTCAAAATGATGTATTGACTAGAAATAGCATAATATATATTTTATAGAAGAATTGTAATTTTTTTTGTTCAACAAATCACAGCTGTAAATTTATAGTTTGTTTTTTATTGCAAATTTCATTCTGCAAACTTATCATTTTTGTGTGCTTAAATACAGTGAGGTAACAAATTTTCAAGGTTATCGATATAGAACTGCTTAAGTTATTCAGCCTTATGTCACTACCATCACTAGATGAAAATTCTCTGGATGATTTATGCAAATGGTTGAGTACTGTGCCATTGTCAAAACCTATAAAAAATATTGCTCAAGACTTCTCGGATGGAGGTTGATTTTTCATGCATTTTCTCAAAACTTTTCTGTGCCTCAAATTCCATTTCTTAAGATTACCACTTAATATATATTACTTGGTAAATCCCTCAGGATTGTTATGTTTCGCAGCAGTGTACAAGTTCTTTATTTTTTTGCTCCTTCAAGTGTTTACTTCATGAGAATTTTACGTATCGACACAAATATTGAAAATATTTTTGAGCATTTTTTAAAACTAATAATCTGAAATAAAGTATTGTAATTTTTCCTGAAACTACTATTCAAGCTTTTGAAATTGGTCTAATACAAAAGTGTGTTTGCTTAATTTCAGTACTGGTAGCAGAGCTAATAGCACATTTTCTGCCCCGCTATGTGAACTTGACTAATTTCACTTCAGTTAGCTCTAAAGCTTTAAAGCGGTACAATTGGGAAACACTAAACAAGTAATATCTTCCTCTTTAGCTTTAAACTGCAGCTTTAAATAACAAAAAAAAGATTGTGTTAAGTACAAATGACTAAAAGAAAAGATTTCAGGTAGCTTTTGATCATTAAAATGACATGTTCATTAACATTTCAACACCTTCATTGTAAACAAAAGTTGGAAATTGAATTAAAGTTTCCGAAATTGAAAGATCTTATGAGTTTAGGATGGTATTTGTACATCTGAACTTCAGTATGAAGAACAACTTAATTCAAAAAGTGGCATCAGGTCAGCCTGGTGCTATAGAATTCGTTTTATTTCGCTTGCGTGAAAAAATTGGGCAGGCCTTACAAGAAGGACGCTTTAGACCTGGCAGACGACGAAGTCAAAGTGCTGTAGGGAGAAGTTCGTTTATCAAACACTCCCTATATCACAAAATACAAGTCGATGAGCCATAAGTCTGGTTATCAGGATTTTATTAGTAATTATGTTGATTTGCAAACTTTGCTGGTCAAAATTTGCTGATTTTCCTAACAGCAATTCATAATGAGTGATTAGCTTTAAAAGCTTTTTTTTTTGTTTACATGATTTTTTTAATTATACATAATTATGGAAAAGAAAACTTAAGCTGGAAGTAATCTTAGCATAGAAGAATTTAATAGTGAAGCAGAAGTAATGACGCGACCACCAGTACATGATGAAGTACATGGAAATCATATAATGTAAGATATCCTTTCTAAATAATTTTATATCATTTAAAATAATTCTGAAAAAATAAAGATTGTAATTGTTGCATTCTTATATGCATACTTACTGAAAAGCACATTCCACGTACTTCAGTGATGCGAATACAAGTTTCTAGCTTATAGTTTCTGGAAAATTATCCTCCTTAAAAATATCATTCATTTATTGACTGGAAAACAATAAAATTATGCAACACACAATTAGAGAATTATATTTATCTGGTGAAAAAATGAATGCCAACTCTTTTAAATAAAAACTTCAGAATGAGTATTTCGACTTAATCACTTAAACTTGATCGATTTTACATTTAAATTATTCAGAGCACCGATGGATTTATATCATTTTCGATGTGATGACAACATATCCATTTTAATGCAGAAATATTACCAATGCCAACGCAATCTCTTATCAAGGGATGAGCAAATACAGGTAGATATTATCGTTTATTAAATTCCATTGTCCCACCGTACATTCTTGTACAGTCATTAAAAAACTGAATTTATGCTTTTTATTCCAGTAATGAAAAACTCTCTTTCATTCTTCAAAATTTTTAAAAATCAAATATTTTGAATAAGTGCATCAATTTTCAAAATATAACAAATGCCCACTTTAGCTTGTGTACAAATTCAGTAATTCTTTTTTTGAGATTTTGAATCGTTTGGTAATAAATTACTTCCACTCTTAAAATAGTAATAACATTTTTGACACGATTTTTTTTTAAAAAACAACTCTGGTTAGAACATTTTTGTTTGATTGTCAAAAAGTTATGAGCTCAAAATTCCCAAATTTATTCACGTATTTCTTCATAATTTACCAATATCCTTTTTAATCAACGTTAATTTGGCACTATCCATGCGAATTTGAAGGTTAAACTATGTTACAGCACGTCATCTGTGCAAACTTAAACAGATTTTAGTACCAAATTAACCAATTTCTTCTGCCTTAGTTCTCATATGAGTTACAAACTGATTTACTTGGTATCAGGAAAATTCAAAGACGGATTTTATTGATGTAGGAAGAAAAAAGTTTGCAATTCTGTATTCGAAGACTGTGGCAAGAAGGAGTGAAAAATAATTACAATTTATTGTCATTTATGATTTAAATATCAATATAATAAAATAGAATTCCGTGTGAGCAAAAATAAAGAAATAAAGTATTTCTTGCAGAAGCTTTATGCTAGAATTCGACATCTAGAACGGTTAAGTCAGTTGAAGGAAGAACGAATTCGAGAACTTACGAAGGAATTGGATCAAATAACTTTATTTCAATATAAAGAAAAGGTAATATAATTGACTGAAAATACTTAATCAAAATGCTATGAATAAGTATTATGTTCATAGTTTCATTCCATATTCATAAGAAAAACATTAAATGAAAAATGGATACAAGTGATAAGAAATGACAAGTCAGCAATCAACATGCACGCAAAATGTTATTGCTAAATTAAAATTCACTCAATCTTCTTTTTCTAAAAATTAAACTGTAAAATTAATGAAAAAACAAAGCCTTAAGAATTATTTATTACATTATTTTTTTGGTAATTTATGGAAATTTGATGTTGCCAAAAAAATTTGATCATATCAATCTTTTAATTGATTTCAATAATTTCACAAATTAATAAAATGTTTCACTTTTTAAAAAATTATGAAGTAATGGAAGTTGGCATAATTGAGTTATTCAGTCCATAGGTTATTCCTTACCAATTATTTAAACTTTTATATGGTGAAATTTAGCATGCTAACTTGATATTGCCATTTTCTGTGGATCAGAAAGAAATCGTTACACCACCGGGTAGCAGTGATGACCAAAGCTTTATCACTAGTAATTCGTTATCTCCACGAGAATCAGATACCAAATAAATTATTTATTTTCATTAATTGAAGCAATTTCATGTCAATACTATCATTTATTAGATCTTCTATGAATGAAATACTGGCTTTTAATTTTTATGCACTCACTTGTTAGAACTTGCCAGTATCATATGTACATTTTCAGTAAATATGCAAGTAAATATGAAAGAGGCTGGAAAGCTGCTGAGTTGATTTTCATTTTTTAGTATCCAGTAGTGATTTTTCAGAACGTTGTTTGAAAATAAATCTATTACCATAACTGGAGAAAATAACATGTTTAATAACAGTATCTGGAGATTCCATACAAATTTTAAAATTCTTATGACTTAGATTCATAGTTATTTTTTCAATAAGATTGAAGTACGACTAAGAAATAGAAGTAATGAGCTTATCAAGTTATCAGCAGAGACGAAAACTTTTGAACTTATATTTTGCTCAGAGTGTTTTTTATTCTCTACACAACGCAAAAATTTATTAACCTAGTGTAAGGCAATATATGCACAACCAATTACTCTCGATTGACGTTTGTGCTGCACTTTACTCTATCAGTGAGCTCAAACGCACAAATGTATGTGTCAACCACGTCCAAATATTTGATTAAGAGCAAGTAGTCATTGAGCAGTAAATTATAGAATCTATTTCAAGTTATCACAAAAATTAATCTAAAAATTAAGTAAATCATCAACACATTTTATTAGCTTTCCTTATCATTATTATAAATAACAAATTCAATCTTTTCATATCGAATGAGTTCAATACTTTGATTACATAAAGACATTTACGCATTATATTTTTACAGCAGCTCAATACTATTACATTACTCCTTATTGACTAGCTAAAAAAAGCATGCATAAATACTTTGTATCAGAACAAATAATATATGTCATCAAAATTTTGCTTCCTTCTTTCACCGAAACAAAATTCAATGTGTAATAAAAGATGAAATTCTGAAAATGATATATGATGAATGTCAAGATCTGTAAGCTAAACAACACAGCTATAAACTGACTGCTTTTAAAATCATACAATAACCTTCAGATGTATGGAGCAACTAAAGCTGCAAATCGCACTGGTTTTTTGACAGAACTGTAAATCGCAATTTATTCTGAATATAGCACTACTTGTTTTTATTTAAACTATCATAAAATCATAAAATTAAAATATCAAATGTAGGAAAGCATCAGATCAAAAATGAATATATTTATTTTGTAGTAAGATGCTTAAATAATAATGCTAAAGAAGTTTCAAGCAGTAGTTTTATACTTGTAAAATCCTGCTCACTTGCTAATTATATTTTTGAAGATAATTCGGAAATATCTGGTTCTGCTGGTTATTCGATCTAACCTGCCATCTACTACCGACAAAGTTGGCAATTAGTATTTGTTTCTGAATACTAATTCTGAGAGCAAATATATTCAAGTATTTGACGAATTCATCCAAAAAAAAAAATTGATCAAAAAGTTTTTCCTGTCTTAAGTTGCTCCATTTATTGAATATTCCTCTTATCAAAAAAATCACCCACGTGACATAATCTGTTATCATTTGATACATTAAATATTTCCATACAAATTTCGATTGAAATATGCTTATCATTTATGTTTGCTAAAATTCATAATTTCTTTTTTTTGGCGTTTCATATGCTAAATTCCATAAACAGAAGTCACTGCTCAAGTCCAAATATTACAAAAATTGTTCATTTAATGATTTAATTTGTCTCTCCTATATTCGCTGTAATGCATTGAAAATTATATTCTACTTATAGAATAAATACAATTAATTAATGCATTTCATTTGATTTCACCTGCACTTTTAGAGTGAAAATTTAAAAAAGGTAAAATTTACTCTTAAAAGCTATTACAAAACAAGTCGCTTATTCGTTCAAAAGGAGTGTATTTTTGTTAATTATATTTTTACTGATAAGGCTTTTTGCCCTTTTTTTTCGAAATGCAAAGCATAATAACAAGCTCATACTGTGGTAAAACTGTTGGCTCAACATTTAAATAATGTTTGGTTCTCAAGTTATTACAAATTTTCGCATCTAAAAACGTCTTATCTGATTTGTTTGCAGTTATTTTTTCAGTTTTTGTCACTCAGTTAAAATATATATCATGCAGATCTTACGTCAGATTATTTGAAATAGAGAAATAATTCATGATTTATGCCTTAAATATTTTCTAGTGAATTAAAATAAACAATAGCTTTTTTCAAACAAAAATTTAACAGCATTGTTAAAAAAAGTAACTGAAAATACATATCGGAAAATATCAATTTCATTTTTTTTTACATGAATTAGAATTGAGTCTGACTTTAAATAAATTACTAATTTCTCCAACTGAATTGTTAGTAAATTTTTTGGATCTAAAAATGTCTCTTAGATAAATTTTCCAATTTGCAGTAAAATGTGTAACCATCAGCGTGTAAGTATGAAGTAGTAATAATACGACGATTATAACAGTATTTTACTGAGTCAGGAAAATGAAAAAGAATAAATTAGAGAAAGAGCATGGATCATAATCTCAAATGAATCAACAAATGAATTGGTCACATAACACCTCCCAAAAACCAGTTTGGAACAAAAATGTGACCCTTTTTGAGAACTTGATTGAACTCTTATCACAACAACTTCAAATTACGCTTATTTATGTAATCTAATGCTGTCTTTTAAATTTGGGAGCAAGCAATAGAAAAAATACAGTAATTTGGACATGAGCTCAACAAATATTGATTGATGCCTCGTGTTCCATTTCAATGATTTTCTGTCTATATTTAGTAATTGAAAGTTCAGTGGCTATTTATTGCTACTTAGGTGCACTTCTTGATGAAGTTGTGAACTCCATCGGGGCCCGTCGCCAAATAGTTGAGCAGATTCAACTACATTCCCAAATTCCGCTTCAGACTGGAAAGTGTCATGCACTTCGTTTTCTGGAACGAATTATTACAGATATTCGTTGTTCGGATACTATCTTCCTTTTTCATTTTGGAGTTCCACATCGTATTCCACAACTCCCTGATTTCGGTTGTCTCTACATTGCGGCTAACCAGCTATTCTTAGGTCAAATATGCTTTTTGAACAACTAAATTTGGCATTTTGCCACAGGTGAAGTAATTCTGATGGAGGTTAGCGTCACTGGTCAAGACAGGTTAACAGCAGTTGAAATTGAGAAGAAGTGAAAGTACGATTTACTGGCTAATAAACTCGAGGCAGAGATGAAATGCAGGACGAAAATAATTCCACATGTGATAACTTGGGATGGGATAGTGACGAACTCCCCACAAGCGTTACGCGAAGGAAATCATTATATCTGATCACATTGAGGCATATATTCAATCTATAGTACTCAAGAAAACGTTCGAAAGCATCTGATTCGATCAGCGCCATCGATTCGACGGGGACGAAACAGCGGAGATCAGCACAGCAGAACTGAGCGCGGGGCGAGTGCAGCGAAAATACCAGAATACGATCTAGCGCCAAAATCAACAGTGAAGAAAAAAAGAATAGTCTCCGTATGATATTGATTTGATTTATATATGTAGTTAATTGTTTTAAAAACTGAGTTTACCCGTTCCTTTGAACAATTGTAATTTATATTTGTGAATTTAAATTTATTTTTATGCACCTAAATAAATTTTATCATCATTGTTAATTATAATGGAGTTGCTCAACGTCACCGATAAATAATCATTAATAAATCAGGGTAATCCAAAAGCCATTTTTTAAACAGGTTAATCGTATACGTTTTCATGCAACATCATTTGGATACTAATGCTAATAGCCAAGTAAATTCAATTAACCACTTTCTGCGACCGAAAAGATATTTTTTCTTATATCTGTCGTATTTACTGCACAAAGAAAATTAATTCATCAGTAAGCTAGTCTGTCTGAATTTATATGAAGAATTGGCTACTAGTTTCATTTATGATAAAATTTTTGCAATCAGAGAACGAAATATTAATCAGACTTAGCAACTTGTGTCTGCAAGTATGTTTGTATTCCATGTTTATCTACACTGTTTAAGCATTTAGATATTATATTCTATGTAGCTTTAAATAAGCCATATAAAATGATTGTGAAAACAAAACTGATCTGAAAAATTATAAAATGAAAAAATGCAAAGTTTCTTGTTCCGGAGTATTTGGTGCACTTAACAGACAGCTTAGTTCCTGAATCATTTTGCTAACTGTTTATGAAGACAATAGGTTAGTATTTGGCTGGGGGGTAATTTCAATTATTAAAAAGATCCAAATTTTCAATTAATAAATTTTAGTCCATAAAAGGAAAGGTAAAGATTATTGGAAAAGGAGAAGTATGTAGGAGACGAAAATAAAGGTGATTAAGTTTCATTGTTTTAACTGAATATTTATAGCACAGAAAATTTTAACTAAACTATGTTCCTTTAAATGATAAGGAACTGGTCATTAACTGGTTTCACTTGTTATTATCACGAATGTAATGATTTTAAACCGGGCTGTCTCTGTGTTACTTGCAATTTATTAGTTAGTCCATCATTTACATGATGGAGACATAAATTTTTAAATGAATAATAATCATATAATTGTAAAATATCTGTAGTACCATGTCAGTATTTGTTTCAGATTTTCTTTTAAATATCATGAAGAAATCAAAAGGTTAGTCTTGTTCGCTGTTTTGTTCCTCACCTTTGCGATTACCTGCGTTTTCATGAAACTAGAGGTTTACTTATACTTGTTTGTTATTATTTTGTTGTAGTTGTCAATCAATCATACGCTTTTTTCTATCCTTGTACTATATTCATTAATCACTTGGAGTATTCTTAATGTTTTTAAAATACTCTATTAAGCATAAATATTGACTGAAATTGGAAATTTTGAGTTTAAGGATAATCACTGACAAATAACATAGTAGAGCACTAAAATGCAAATTAGTAACAAGTATTCTCGACTTAAAAAGTTTGAAAGAGAAAGTGAAACTGTAAATCTGCAAAATGAAAGCGTTTATAGGTATCAGTCGAAGAAATTTTTAAATGGTCGCCGATAGTATGGCTTACTCTGATAGTGTTATGTTGGTTCTGCACAAATCTTATGTGCCACTGTAAAAAGATGTATAAAAAACATCAGCTCACAAGAATGGGAACACATGTACACTAATTAAGAATTTTAAACTATTTAACATGTAGGCATAGATTAACCAGAAAATCAAACAACGATACTCAATTACACTAATTTCCATCAAAAGTGATACAGGTAATGATTTTCAGAATGAATCAGCGCACTCGTTAAATTCAGTCCCATCATTTTCATGCACAGCCATAACATTATGTCCTCAATACTATGAAGAAAGTGATAGATATTCATTGCCATCGGCGTTTCGTGATAGTGGCACGTCTTTGCCATCATACAACGAGGCCACAGCTACTTCACATTACAGGGTAAATTAGATCGATATATATGCACATATTTTTCAAAACTATTTTGTAAATGGCTAAATATTTCTTAAGCTCAATCACTTGTACACACCATTTAATATTTAATACGTAATTATTAAAATTTAACCTCTCAACTAAAAAACTGAGGATCAATCACTGGTAGAAATATAATTCTCAGCTGTACTCTAAAATCTTTAATCTAATCTAATACTTGCAAAAACTAAATCACTTTACTTTTAATGAGTGAGCGAATTCCGGAAAGGATTTCGAACTCTTATAGGGTTGCAAAGATCAATGAAAAACAAGCCGAGTCCCAACTCCCATTAGACAACTTTGACAAAAGCTAGCTTGATATATCTGGTGGGTAAAAAATATAGCAGATACTAGCTCCGTAATATCTTAGTGTTTTTAACAACACTAAACTTAAGAATAGTGTGCAACACCTGCATTGAAGTTTGATTCAACTTTGTACTGTCATATGAAACTTCTGACGTTCCAATGCAAATCATATAAAAACTGTTCTTTTGATACTTATCAATAAGCAGACACTTTAGTTCAACTCAAATTTCAAGCTCTAAAATACTCTCGAAAACAGATGAAACAAACCTGCTACTTACTTTGCAGAAACTTTGATAGAAAATGTAGAACTCACAATCCATTCTCGTATTAACTACCTGCTACCGTTACCGTAGTTAAACTATCAACTACTAGATCTATTACTAAAGAGAGCAAAGACAAAAAAGCTTAATACCTTATTTTTCAAGTTAGATACTTTTTAACCACCCATTTACTATCAGAGACAAACCTAGATATGTTACAGGTAAATTACACAACGGCTGACCAGAGGACGTGTATAACCACATCGGCATTAAGAAACAATATGGATAGAGAGCTACCAAATTACGACGAAGCCATGAAAATGATCGGTCAGTAAGCGATTATATGTCTGTTATATAAAATTTGGAGATTATCTATTTGCACTCACAACAAATTGTATATGCAAACTTCTAAATAAACTGAAATCTACATATATATAGTCTTTGGATACATAAGAAAAATCAGAACTATATGATATGGAACTGATTTTACTACCAGCAGCAGTTTACATGACTACAAAACACCGGTAACACAGAGAAACGTGACACTCTAGTTTTTCATATCAATTACAAAATGCGTGTCACCAATATGTTATACCAGTAAGTGAATCTGATGAAAATGAGAGGTATAAGCTTCTAGCAGCAAGAAGGAAACAAATTGTAGGCGCGGCAATTATAACTATTTTTTCCAATGATACTAAGGATTTCGCTTAAAGACTGAATTGAAAAGCATCCCGAATTCACAATTTGTAAATAATTTTTAACTTACGAAGCTTAAGGTAAAAAACATGAAATTCTATGACATAGCAAGGGGCCAAAAATTTACAAATGTTGATATCGACTAACTACGCAATTAAAACAACAATAACGAAACGAACGTGACAATAAATTTCTGGTATCACATACCCTGTTTTAATCATATACCTGTAAAAACGCAATAAGTAGACATCTAAACTAAAGGAACAACAGAAATCGAAATAGCCTTGCAAACAATATCAGCCTAATTTGTAGTATTGGCACAATCAGTATTCAATGTAATGAGAGTAGTTATTAAGATAGCTTTAATCACGATTACATAACTCTTGAGATTTCGAAAATTATTAGAGATTACAAAGATGGTTACATTAATACCAGACCGCGCGACTCAGTAACATTGGCGACTGTAGTAAACTTTTAATGTTTCTTTTTGTCACTCACAAATTTTGGTTTACCACTACCAGACATATACGCTTTGAAGAAAAAGTTGATGAAAAGGATCAAATAAGTAACATCCATGAATAGTGCGAACTTGAAGATGCTATCATCAAAATCACAGTCCACCTAAATTAAAGAGATAAATTTTTAATAAGAAGTTTGATCTTTAAGTTTGTTAGATACAAAGTGTCATGAAGCAAACCTTAAATATATGAGCTTTTCGGAAAAACATTATCTATACTAGAAAAGTTTAAAACTAAAAACGAATGACATACATTTCGGATGTAAATCAGTACTCCAAGATGAATGAGTATTAGAACACTGAGGACGAATTGAAGTATCTGAAGGGATGTAACGAACATCGCAACAGCGCGCGGGATCTGGATTTTCATCGAGCGTAACAAGTAATAGCTAAAACAGTAGCTAAAATAATACAGAAATAACTAACTAAATAATATTTGAGCAATAATTTTAATTACTAATCAGTCATGATTAAAATGTCATAAAAGTGGAGATGCTTGATCTCTATAGAAGTAACATACCTGTACATAAACGCATGCACAAAAAAATTCATGAAAATGCCCCAACGATTGAATCCGGGTGTATGTGGATAAGAATAAAATGCATAAATGAGGGTAAGAATATGGTGGTACCAATGCAGGAACATCAATGGCTTTTTTCGTAAGACGACAAATACAGTATCTGCTAGCTCGAACAGCTTGGACACAATAAACAGCCAACCCCAAAAACCATTAGAACCCTTAGTAAAACCATAAACTTTGCAATACGAAGCTGCAATTACCAGAGAAATGAAAAAATCAGAATAAAAAGGCTTTCGAATCAACCGCTAAATCAGAGAAAATTAGCTTTCATTTTATGGAAGCAAGTTTTTTTTCGGTTACATTCAATGTTACAAAACAGACCTTGGAAACCATTGTTCCGAATAGTTCCAATAAATTCTGGAAAAAGCATAGCAGTCCCTACAATGCTGAATAATGCTAGAAGTCCATTCCAAATGTTCAGAGGCAATGTAAGATCAAAAGGGGGCCGGTTTCGCATGACGATATATTTCAGTCCAAATATAACAAAAAAATAAGCAAGACATGCCTGAAATAATGCTAAATGTCTCTTTTGACAAAAATCTTATAAATCATGTTCTCTACTAATACAACAAATAAATAAATTCTTATATGTAACGAAAATTTTAAACTATTTTATTTATAAATAGTATAATTTCGATAGTAATGAGAATATGAATTTAATAAATATCAGCTGTATATGCATAGAAGATCCCAAACTGACCTGCAGAACAAAATTTTGATGCTGCAAAACCCATTCTTTAGATGCTTGTTCCGGAAATATTGGGGAAGTGATTATTTCGACAAAACGTTGTACATTAACCCTTGGTGCGGTAAGAACCTGTTCCTGAGTTACCATTTGAAAGGGTGGCACGAGCTTGGAACTGCCAAGCTTTTTCAACCTAAACAAAAACATACAAGTTTTCAGGATAAATATAATGAAAAACTAAGTGAAGCGTAGCCCAGTCCACACTATTCTAACTCGTGATGACAGGAAAATCATCAGTATCAGCAGTGGAAATGAAAACATGCAAATTAACGAGAATTTCCTCCTTACGTTGCACTTCGTTCTTAAAGTACCTAAGGACCATCTGTACAACAAACAGGTTAACAAAAGAGCAGGCTGTAAAAAAGGTAAATCTGGAAAGACGCCAAAGTTTGTCACTTTAGGACACTTAAGTAGGAGAAATTTAAGATGAAAAATGAGAGTGTGGAGAAATGAGACTGTGCAGTAATCTGTAGTTCCAAAAGCGTCTTGTTTTTGCGTTCCGTACCTTTTCGTATGAAATGACTGAAATATTTCATGGAAAATGAATCACAACTTGTAGGATAATGGCTTATTTTTCTCTCAACTATTGATTTTTGAATGCCGAGCAGTGAAATGTAGCGAGAATGCGAAGCAAAACATGGGTAAATAATTACAAAAGCAGCACATTTACGTTTTTAAAATTGTCTGATTGAGATGGAATCCAAAAAGATAAGCAAGTTTCGGAGTGCGACCGATGCAGTGAAACACAACGTAACAGTAAAAACCGGAATGAAAAAATGAAGAGTTTTAAAGGTCCATTTGATTTGGGGGCGTACTGATAACGAAATCAGTGATCTTTAAACTATAGTCGATAAGAGGGGTAACTGCAATATCGATGAACTGTCTTGACCAAAAATTTGTTTGAGGCCAAAGGTTAAGATTGATCTAGTATTTAGTATACTGGTGATCTGAATAAAGCCTTCAAGTGTCATCACATTTATCACTTGACCATTCATTCAATTGTTTTATTACACCAATGATATTTATTGTCTATGTGTTTATCAACGCTAAAATTGAAAATAGTAGGAAAGTAGTGCACAAGACAGCAAAGTATAACTAATTTGGTGTAATTGCCAGTCGTTATTAATACTGTTTGTTAGTATTCGCAAAAATGCGTATTTGCATGAAGACAACTTTTTAGGTATGTGTAAAAAACCACAGCAAAAGTGCAAAAGGCGAAAAAATAGCAATGCAAGATTGTTAAATGAAGCAGAAAGTTAAGATAAAGCATGAAACATTCATTACTTATCAAATCTGTACTGTGAAACCATGCGTGACAGATAACTAAGCATATTTGCAGATGCATTTGAAAACAGTGTTAGAGATTGCCACGAAAATGTTTGAAGAAACTAATGAGTATAATAACGCAAGGTTGAATTGTAAGTTGAGAAAAAAATAGTTGGAAGCAGTTTGCTGATAGTGCTTGTCTTGTTGTAAACGAAAATAAATGTGTGTAAAATGAATACTTCCGAAATAAGCAATAGAAAGTAATTAGAGATTGAATGCAAGTGCTATCTACATTACTTTATCTATTTACTTGCAGTTATTGGTGGTGAAAAATAACAGATTTATGATATGCATATGCAACTGTTGTTTAACCAATTACTTATTACATTAATGAAGCCAATTGCAAAAATTCATGAAAATAAAAGTGATCAGATTAACTATTATTATAGAATTAAATCCTATGTGGATGCGCTGTAATTTTCTAAAAATGAACTGAGCTATCGACTTCTACATTATATACGAAATTTGGTAGAAGTTGCAGTTACACTTTTGTAATTGTTTGAGCTGTTTGTCATCTTTTTTAAAGCAATCTCATGCATAAGAAAGCTTGTCGTAATTTATTACACTGCGTGGAAATTATTTGTAAACGAACTGCATGGTAATTACGAATAACTTATCTTTTTTTTTGTGAAATTGAAATAGTAATGCTGTCATTTATTCATTCTCCACGCTATTTTTGTTGTGTTATCTTTACAAATTTCTAAGCAGCAATAATTTTTTACCCATAACAAAAATGCAGTGAACACCAAACTGAATACAGGTTTTAGTGATTTGAAAATTTTTAGAAGTACAAAAATAACACTTTATCAACCGAGTAGTCTTCATTAGAATAAAATTCATTTGCATTGCGCAAATTGATAGTGAATCGAAAGTTGTGTTGAATAATCTGAATAGACAAAATAAAATGCTGATGCATTTTTTATAAAAAAAAATGTTACTGCAATTTATAATGTTCACATTTCCAGTAACATTCGTCTTAGTATGACATTGTTTTATATCGTGTTTGTTGGATGAAATTAAATTATTCTAGTTATTTGCATTGAAAAATGCTAGTTGGACTTGGCTACTGTATCATTTTCAAATATTTTTCAATCTAATACTTTTTCAGCGTTTTAATGCACACAGAAAATATCAATCATTTAAAAAAAAATTTATATTTGCCTGTAATTGAGTTACAAAAGCAGAAATGTGTTTGGTTTTTTTGTTTTGGTCAAGAAAAAATTCGTTTTTGAATTCAATATGATTTCTAAACTGGAATAGATGCAATTTATGATGTCAAAATTAGGCATCAATAATTACTATGAGCTGAATTACTAAATAAATTGAATATGAAAACAAGAAATAAACAATCTTGACTTCCATATTAACAACTCTACGACAGCACCACATTAGTACTCTCAACTAAAATTGGAAATGCAAAAATGCTTAGTTGTTTGCAATTGCAATTCAGATGATCTGAAGATGCTATCAAGTGCAAGACAAACAATTGAAAGGGATCGTACAAACATATTAAGAGTAGCAGTTATCATTCTTTTCTCGTTTATAGAGTCTCGCTATCAGTGATACGAGAATAACACCATATCATCCGAAATGTTAGTGGCAAATAGCGTAATTGGTTCCATACTTTCAAGCTTCCACATCAAGGTTAGATCCATTCTCTTTGTTATCTAAGCTCCTCATCATTTTTTCACATGAACACAATTCATGTCATGTAATTCATTTGTTAATAATCACTTTATTTTTACATTATCATGTTTTATATGCTCTATAGGTGTTTAAACTTGCAAAATAGTGAGAGATTGACGCTTCAAGTAAAATATCAAATAAAAACTTGCTGCATATTGATTTAAAAGTAAAAAGTTGAGAAGATATTTAAAAGAAGAAAACAAATCTATTTACATTAAAATGTTTATAGAAGTTTGAGTCGAATGCATATTGGAGTATTCTATAACAGAATGAGTTTGTATAAGAATGTTAGCTGTATCTTAGGCTACATTCCTGCTATGAAAGCAAGAAATTATTATCATTCGAATTTTATTAATTTCTTAATTTCATAGATATTAAGCAAATCAAAGTAATGTTAAAGATTTCTTTTTTCATAGTAAATATAAAAAAAGATATGCTAAAACATATTACTGTTGAATTTGATACTGTTACTTAAATTTTATCTTATTAAATTGAAAAATGGTAAAAGATTGAGGTTTCTCAGGCAGATATTTTTTTGTCTGAAATGTTTTACTAACTAGAAAAAGCATTTTAACAATAATTCACTTCTTATAAAACAAAAAGTCCAGAAATTTTAGTGCATGTTATATTTGTGGAAGAAATTATCAAAAATAATCTTTAAACTTAAAATTTTTACTTTCAAAATTGTATGAACTGCACTGTTAACTTTATTTATCTATTACGTTATTCGAATTTGGATGAAGTAAATTGACAAGGAATTTGAAAAAATTATTTTTCTTTTAAAAATGAAATTATCAGTCTTCTATTTATCATACAGATGTTGGCTGATATGTGAGAAGCTTTAAAAAAATGGTATTGAAAGCTTTTATAATATATAATTTCGTGGAGTGAGATTTTTCATTTTCTAACTTCCTTGTAGTTTTTTCATCTGAAAATAAGTCAAAACTTTTTTGGCACTTTCCTTACTCAGTAGAAAAAACAAACTTCTAAATTATCAAGAAAACTATTGCCAACACTAATTTATGGTAGCACATCAATGATGACTGAAAAAAATTGGCCAAAACTGACAAATATTGACTATTTTTCTGATTCAAAAATTATTACAGTAGTGTCTGTTGCTTAAGTGAATTATAAATAATCTTCAGTCATTCTAATATATTAATATTCTGTATTGATAGAATAGTATTCGTTATTTCTTTATCATGTAAAAAGTTGAAGCTTGTTTCGTTTCAGTGTTCACAAGATTTTCTTCTTTCCATTTCTACTTTTCATCAGTACCAATATGAGATGACTTTTAACAGCATACATACATATTAATCTTTGTTAAAACTATATGTGAAGTTGCAAAAACTCATTTGAAAAAAAGAAACAATTTCAAATCGTAAAGAACGAAATGAGCTGAAAAAGTTAGTTATTGCATAAAAAGATGAATTATTATTGCACTTGCAATAGTTTTCAGTAAATAGAATCTAATTTTGAAACATTGAACCAAACAAAAAGTGACACTTCTTTTGTGTTAATCATTACACAAAATTTTGCTCTTGCTATTTCTAAATTGAAAGTTATTTTGCCATAAACTGATCAAGAGACACCTTTTACATTCTTGTGATCAGTTATTTTGTCTTCATTTTTTCAGAATTTTACACGTAAGATTGTACTGAATGATCAAGTTTATGATGTGCTATTCAATTACTGCTTGAACAGATAGATTTTTTGTTAAACGTTCAGTAACTTAAGTGCTAAAGTATTTTTTTCTAAAATGTCTATGCCAAAAAAATTGATGAATTTTTCTCCTTTAAACTTCTTTATAATTGAAGATAATTTTTCTCTTTAATTAATAAATTTTTTTGTAATTAACTGCAATCGTTTATTTAATTCACGTGTGAAGTAATATCATTGTTATTAAAAAATATCTGTAATCGCTTCTTCCTTGGAAAAGACTGAAGTTTTCTTGAAGTGAAAGGCATCTTTTCATACTTCAAATTACATTTTGTATCTAATATCAATGCTCAATCTATGCACTGTTTTTTATTTTTAGCTATATAATTTGATGGCATTCTACACTGACTTCAGCATTTAACTTGCTGCATTTATCACAGAATTGTAACAAAATTTTATACTTTTAAACCTGACATGTTACTGTTAGTCCTATCATATATAGAGCAATCATGTACCATAAATCTCAAAACTGATACTTAAGAGACACTTACTTATTAGTAATTACTAATCTATGACACAATTGTCTTATTATTGAATAGATGGTATTAATACTGGCGATCCTGAAAAAATTGTTAATATAATAGTTCTTTGAATTAGTCAAAATTTTTTAACATTTATTTTAATCTTAAATCATGAGTAGTACGTCTTTCAATATTTTATGACTGACGATGGCATCACTACTCCTCAGAATTGTTATAAATACAAAGCTAATTTGGAATGTCAAAATAAATCTGTAGTAAAGATATAATATTATTCTCGCCTTTGAGTTAAAGAAAGTAAAATCGAAGATTACTTCATCTAGAAATGACGTAATATATAATGGAATCTGATAACAATACATGGGCTGATTTGCTAATTTAGCCCCAATGCGACGATCAAATTTCGTTGACATCTGTTTTCTCATTACTAAATTAACATATACATGTACAGTACATATGCTGGTTAATTTAAACTTTTTGTTAGCAATTTCAAGTGCATTTCAAGTTCAATAAATCATGAATCTAGAAAAATTTTCCATTTCTATAACTTACATATAAATAGTTGATAACTGAACACCAAATCCACAGCAGTGTGCATGCATTATAGATTTTTTTGAGTTCTTCAAAAATTTTAAATTATTAATTCGTCACTAATTTCTAAATAACATCAAGCTTACAAACAAATCATAAATTATAAAGTTTGTAAAGTACTGCTATAAACTTTCATGATTTGAATCTTGCAACAATTAAAAATGTTATATTTGTAGATAAAATCTAAATAGAATATGAGAATTCGCAATGTCTAGCATTATTAGATACCTTATCAGTGATTTTCATAAAATGCTACCTCATATTTTGCACAAATTATTTGTCAATAGGCTAGTCTTTCCAATTCTTATCAGCTATCAATGACTATTAATGCACAACAAATGTCTCCGAAAAAAAACTGTTAGAATATAAACAATATGACATTATCGACAGAGATGCATAAACATACTTTAAATATGAATAAAAGTAGTTATGCAATTAGGAAAGGCAATCAAACAGACAGCAAATCAAGAAAAATATTCGCAAATGAGTGTTCATTTTTACGAATTTTGTCAGCGTAGTCACTGTTTTCAAATCATATTTTAACTGTTACTATTGAAGTCATACAGTTTTCAGTTTTCTTTTTTAAATTCATTCACTTAATTAAGATGATTGCAGCCTTTTTTAGATGATTCTTTTGTACATTATACTTTGGCTTCGTATTGGATTAGATGAATTAATGAGTGAATCAGTAAATATTAATTATCAAAAAAATTGTCATTGTAAGGGAAACGTAACGGATCAAATTCTAACTTAAAGTATGATAAAACTAAAGTTGCAAGGAAGCACTATTATTGTATAATACTAGACTTTCGATAATGAATCTTAGCATTCTGAGACTGAACTATTTCTAGACAATTTAATGTCATTTCCATTTCAGAGTTTTGAAGAATTCTGGTATACTGCACTTTTAAACAGATATTATTCAATTCCATCCTAAAATGTGGACAAATCTGATGCCTGCGAAAAATTCTGAGCTAATGTTAGCAACTTACTTCTATATCGGAATTGTTTAAATCAACGCTTAATAGAATAAGTAGTTAGGGTACGACTGATTAGGATGCATAATAGCGAAAATACAATTCTATTATGGGACATACTCTATTCCATCAAGCCAGAAAATAATTTTATGCAACAAATTATAAACATTATTTGAAGACACTACATGTTTTTAAACGTTGCATAAAGCTTCCATAGGCTGAACTTTATTACTCATTCTGTTGTTATCACTTTAAACAAGCAGTTCACCAAAAGTTGAACTTTCACATGCGTCTTCAGGTTTACTTGAAGGTAGAAGCAACCATTTTTTGATTAAATCACTACCTCATTTCTTCTTAAATCATAATGCAACAGGCCCAAATGCAAATTGCTAATGCGAAAAAATTTTAAGTGTGTTTACACAAATTATAAATAAAAATTATGAATAATTTGTGTTGTAAGCTAGTGCTAGGATATGAAACTATGAAACTATGGTATATCCTTATCAGTTAATGCATAATTACACTTTGGACATAATCAGAAGATGCAATCCAAGTTTCTGTACATCACTGTTTGACCCAAGTGAATTTGAAATGTAACTGGTAAGAATTTTCAGTTGCTTGAAAGAACAACATTATCCCTACTTATTTATATTCCTGACAGCCATGACTTCTCATACTTGAATAATTTATTCCATGAAGCAAAACTACTGATATGTGGATTCAAAACTTGGAAAAGGCTCTAGAAGATATTGATTGCTTTTATCCTTGGTGCACTCGTTAATTTTAACAGATTTACTGTCATGCTGGCATTCATGAATAATTATATAAATTATATTTGTTACCAACCACTCGACTCTACCACAGTATTATCTTTTTATAGTATGCTGGTTTGATTCGTGATATTCGAGGTGACATCGACCCAAGTGGACGGACAGATTTGCTCAAAATTTTGGATCGAGCTAAAGTATTACTACTTTAATAGAAAATAATTATTTGAAGAATTTTTCTTCCATTTTATTTTCAATTCATTTAATAAGTACTGTCCATTACAATTTTTAATTTCATGTTTTCGCCATTTATCAGTTTTGTTGGTAGTTCATCTATTGCGTTGTCATTTCTCTTCTTAAAATGTGATTTCTCGTTACAGATTAAAAAACAAATCACACCTCTTGATGAGAAGCAGAAATTCACTGAAAATGCAATTCTTGAGATCAGTTTGTGTTCAGTAGCAATTCGATCAGTGACTGATAATGTAAGTTAAGACTTCGGTAACTTTCTCAAACTTATTGTATCGGCAAGTAAAAGCAAGATGAATATACTTTTTCAAAATATCAGCTACACTCTTTGTATGCTATAGAATTTGCTGTTTTGCGCACCTATTCATTTGATTGCATCTGTTGGCTTTGTTCGTGAAGGTCATGAATACATTTTACCTGTGAAAATTGGATACAGTAGTGGTCGGAATCGCGATGGTTTTGATCTTGCTGTTGTTTACTGTGAAACTGCCGTAACATTTTCTGAATAATTATATACTTGGTTTTTTAAACATAAATGTTTTCATCGATAAATATTAATATTTTTATCATTTCTACAGATATCAGATTGATAAAATGCTAGCTCAAAAAGGAGCTAAAAATTTTTGAAGATATAATGTCAACTTATTGTATTCTCTTCATATCAAACTTTAATTGTGTTCAAATTGTTAGTTATCTGTTTTTAAGTAGGTAAAAGCGTATTTCATTCAGGATATAGCAGAAACAGTTTGTAGTGTCCTGGAACAATGTTTTTCTCAAGTTTATAAAGAAGTCGCCGGTAATTATGATTTGTATGCAACTCGAAAAAGTTTGCATTGCTCTCTTTATTAATTTTTCTAATTTTCAAAGGGAGCTCAATTTATAGGTCTAGTAAATGGTTCTTATTCTAGAAACCATTTGTTATATATATATATATATATATATATATATATATA